GGAAAATATTTTCTGTGGAAAATTTCTTCTATCAATCTTCCAAATAAGTGGAAATTTGAAAATATTTTCCTAGTTGCCTGGAAAATAACGCGTATCAAACACGCCCTAAATGAATTTTGTTTCTCGTCGCTATGGTTTTTTTTTTTTTTTACATCGACATAATTCAATTAACATTTTTTTAAAAAAATTTTAAAAATAAATAAAAATAAAATTCACTTAATATCAATTCACACTTAACCAAAAAAAAAAGGAAAAAAAGAAAAGAAAAGAAAGAATTGCATAGCATGAAAATTAAGACGTTGTGTCTCTCTTATTAAGCCATCATCATCCTGAAGAAAGCCATTGATGCCAGGATCCACGCACAAGATTTCCGTGGAGAGATTTTATCTGCTACGGAAGCCGGGCTTGGAGCAGGAGCTTGTACTTCTGCAGAAACAGTAATGGCAAGCTTCATTCCGTTCGCACAGTGCTTCCCGACCCCGCAAATGTACCACTTTCTTCCCGGCGTAGCTAGGGTGATCACATCAGATCCACTAGTTAGAGCCTCACTTTCAGCTGGTGCCATGCATTGCTGGAAGGCAGTTCCATTTACTCTGTGAACGTTGTGAGTTTTATCTGTGTACTTGAAAACTGCATCGGAAAATTAGGTTAAAAACCGTAGAACAATATAAAATATACAATTAACAAGAATTTTATCAATTTTGAAAAAGAATAAGGTTTATTACAAAGGATTAAATTGAATCAAAATGATTTTAAAATTGTGTAGAGACGCTATGCTACGATGAAAGTGATATTTGCTCTCACTTCAAAAGATTTGCAGAAAATGCAGGCAGAAAAGAAAATATCTGCCATTACAAATATTGTAGATTGTCGAAAACAGGCTAAAAAAAATAGTATTTCCTCTATAATTGGGAAAAATGGAGTTGCTTTTTGCGACAAGAACTCTCCTTCCAAATTTTTAGTAAAATATTATTTTGTGAACTTAACAACTTGAAATAAACCGACTCAAACGATAATATGTTACTATCTATACTAAGTACTAACCATAAGTTGGTAATAAGCAGATATTAAGCTTAGAGTGTGTTTGATGCACATTTTTTAGGAGTGAATACTTTTTTTTTTGGTGATATGACGATGAATATATAGTTGAAAAAGAAGAAAAAGTCATTGATGTGATTGAAAATATTATTTATTAAAGAGTGTATGGTTGAAAATGAGTAGAAAAATGAAAATGTGGCTCAAACAAGGGCTATATAAGTAAAAACTAAGAAGAAACATAAAAATGTAGGAGCATACTGAGTTCATCTCCAACGACGAACTGTTTTCCCTCAGCCCACTTCTGGTAATCGAAGTTGAGTTTCCAGCCAGCATCATCTCCAACTACATATTCTGTCGCCAAAGCTAGAGAAGCAACTATTGCGACAAAAAATGCTATCAAGAAAATTTTTGAAGACATTTTAGAACTTAGTTAGTTAAACTGCTTATAATTTGCCTATATTTTTGCCTGTGCAGGATGGATGATTTTATGGTTCAGCTGGCCTTGATTTATATAGTTATATACAGAGCTCTTGAAAATGATGAACCAGCCGGCGGCCTTGCTCACCCTAGAAATGGTAATAAACTAATAATGCCAACTCTTTAACACGTACAAATAGATAGAGTCAAGAGTCGTACCAAGCACCTTTGTATATCCTGAAGCTTAGGTTATTAAGATATTAGACACATTTATACATTTAAATTCACTCTTCAACAAATTTAAAAAGTTGTGAAAAGGAAAATAATTTTATTTATTTATACTTATTATCTTATGTCCAACTCGATGCCTTTTCGAAACACCCCATATATGGGTTATGCGCATGGGCGAACGCAGAACTTAAAAGTTAGGGGGCACAATCGAACTTGCAAAGAAATTGGAAAAAATGTTACAATCGAAAATTTACGTCCAAAAAAATCATACCCATGTAATTTTGTATCCGAAAATTTACATAAGATATGAATTTTTCAAATGTAAAATTTTGAAAAAAATTTATGTCATATTCCATATAAAATTTTCTAAAAAAATGATGAAAATTATATTAAGAAATTTGTATTTCAAAAATAATAAATGTTATTGAAATAATTGAATTTTTGTAAAGAAAATGCGAGTTAAACATCTTTCTTTAAAACTCACGTTTAACCCATTTTTAATTATTTTCGATATCTGTTTGTATTATTTGATATGCCTATAATATAATTCTCGAAATAAGTTTTGAGATGACATAAGTAATTTGTAGATTCGATTAGCGTACGATCGTCGAAAAATTTTTAAAATTAGTATATTATCGAAATTTTCGAAATACTAATTTTGAACGGCTTACTTTGACAAGTCGTAGCATTTCCTACAATTAATCGTTTCGTACACCATTAACGACGTAGAAAACTAGACCTTGAACACTTCAAAATGGTATTAAGAATGCAATATTTTGCCCTTATTTCATGGAGAGTTAAGATTTTGTTAAAATGCGAGAGAAAAAGAGAAAAATTAATTTTTTTATAATTTTGCCCTATGTTTGATAGAGATTAAAAATCTAATTTTTAGTAAATTTTGATAAAAGTTATTTAGTTATGAATTTCATGAAATATGTTATTAAAATTAATTGTTAACTTTGATTTAAATTAAAATTTATATTTCAATCGATACCAAACATGATTTTATATTTTTTTTAAAAATCAAAAGTTGGGGGCACGTATGCGCGTGATAATGCCAACATACACATTCATTTGTATTAAAAATTGTGTTCAAATTAGCCTACCAAAGTCCGGCACATTTTTATAACTTAAAAAAAGAAATTGAGTCCGACAAACATCAAACCCAAATGCTCAGGCTCATGAATTATATACAGAATCTATAGGGTTTTAACATTTTAAAAAAAAATCTAAAATCAAAATAATTTTTCTTAAAGTTGCAAACTCTATACGTTGAGCCCAAGTCCAACCCTCCTTTAATCTTCCTCTAGTTTCACTATTGAGATCTTCATTGAGTTGCAGAAACTTGAAAGTGCATTTTTCATTTTGTGCTCATCTAATCAAAACTTTGAAGGTCATTTTTCTCCTCTGATTTTTAATTTTACGGAAAATTATTTATCAAACTCGTCCATCTTTAGGTTATGATGTTTTGAAAGTTAAATAGTTTTTTTTTTATCAAATTTTATTCTTGCTTCAATTTATTAGGAGCCAACGGAGCAAAAATAATTTTTCCATGGCATCTCATTTATTTCTGAAGATAGTGAACTGAAAAAAAAGTTTTGGTGATGTTGGATGGGAAATTGCAGTTATTGAATATGTTAGTAAACCAAATGATGTGAGATACTAATAATGCATAATCTTAGATGGTTGATAGTTATGATGAGGAGAAGGTTGACAATAATATTTTATCATCTATAAAAAGTAATAGAAATTCTCGAATTGAAATAAAAAGTCCGATGAAAATGATTTTACATCGGATGACACAGGAAATGACTTGGATGAAGATAAAATTGAATTGGAATCTGAAAGAGATAGAAAAGATTTAGAGTTTTTTTTTTTTTCTCGGTGTACGTGTCATCCAACTGTAGAAATTAATTACCAGTAGTTGTAGTATTTATGATTTTGAGCAAATATTTTTTTTAATTTGAAAAATATGTATAAAGTTCAAAAAATGCATTATTTTATTTATTTGTTAGTTTCAAATTTATAAAATAATATTAAAATAGAAAAACACATAATTACGCATATGCTTCGTATAGACACACATTTGCTTATAATATTTGATATTCGATCGAAATGCATTGTTATGTATTACGCATTTTAGAACATTAACAAAAAGTATGTGGGTGTCGGTCAAAAACGAGCGTGAAACCTTTTTGAGTTATGTAGGATTTATTTGGTATCGGCCGAACAAGGCGGCAAATTAGGAAGCTAATCATGATTCCATTTGGCAGATGATGCTGGAAATGAAAGCCGTTGTAAACTTTTTTTTTTGTTTTAAATCAATAATGTTATGTAGCTTCTCATATCAAAAAAATAATAATAATAATAATGTTATGTAGCTTCAAGACTGACATTTGTTTGGTATAACTTTTTTTCAGATTTTAAATTGGTTAAACTTAATTTTTAACCACACATTTCGGACCCATAATTTTTTTGACAACTGTGGATGTCCAGGCCAACTTGCGCGCACCTCGACTAATCCCACGAGGTCCTGTAGTTTACAGTTTGGTACTCACCTCAATGACCTTGAGGGATCTCGAACTGGTGACCATTGAGGAACAAACTCAAGACCTAACCAATTGAACAACCCCCCTTGAAGTTGAAATCCAAAGCAGATTTGATCTTACATTTAATTGTTAAGAAGATTTCACAAAGCAACCATTTCTCAATGACCAAGATTTCGCACTTGACGCGAGACAGAACTATGTAACGAGGGTATACTGACTGTACAACTTTAACCTACAACTGTTTTATTGTTAAGCAGATGAAGAATCTGTGGCAATATCAGCATTTTGGATTGTAACAAAAATGACTTCCGCACTTACAGTTGATGGATTTTCATACCTTGTATGTATGCATGCAAAAGAGCCTGATACGAGACATTCTAAGAAGTTTTATGTACTTGTCAATATCCGGTATCGACCTTGCAGCTTCATTAAAATGGGAGAGGTTGAAGGTTGTTGGGGACTACGAATATAATATGAGAAAAATTCGCCTTTCTACTCTTAGCGAATGCCCATACCCCTGTTGGCAATTCAAAATCAGGTTTATATATATTTTGTGCATTCGAATCGAATAAAAACATAAAAAGAACAAATCAAATACCTGTTAATCCCAGAAACAGGACCAACTTCCTTTCTCCATTCAGTGCCGCTTTGAATCTGCCTCCCTCCAACGGAGGTTAGCTTTTGTTTCACTACTTGTTTTATCTATTAAAGTAAGAAAAACAGCATATAATTATGACAGGTAAGACTAAAAAAATTCACACAGGAGACTAGACCACTTCATTAATGCTATTAAAGTACAAGAAAGTTACCTCATGTTCTTGCTGGAAGGAACTCCATCTGTTCTCTTTTGATCCCTTGTAACAAAAATAAATACTCAATCAAGAACATCAAATTGAAGTACTTCATAAGTAATAATTAATTTACGAATAAGAATGAATAAATGGAACCTTAAAAGATATGCTGATAGGCAATGGCAATTTTGTCTGTGAACCAGTAGTTGGTTGGTCAGATGTCAGAGAGAGCTAGTTCAAAATAGATGGAAGATGTGTCACCAAAAGCCCAATCATTTAATGATTTAATAGGTTAGAGCCTAACAAGAAGTGTTCGTGGATGCACTTGATAGTTGCAAAATTAAGGAGCATAGAACTGATGGAGAGAGCATTAGGAAGATCTAGTAAGTAGATATGTAGTTATAAAATTTACCTTGTTTAAGAGTTCAATTGGTGGGTTATGTTGAACCCTCTTCTCTGTTTGGAAATTAAATTCCTGTGGTACAGGCAAAACTATAGTGATTATGGTGTTCTAGGATTATCAGTTCGAAAAGCACTAGAATAAGTTTCAAATGCTAACTACCATTGGCACCGTAATTTCCTTCTTACAATTTCGGAAAACTCCAATATCTCCTTTGCTTAACAATATCTGCATGAGGCAGAAGTTTTGTTCACTATCTGGAGAACATAATGTTTCCGCTAACAAAAGATATTGAAAAAGTTACCTTCTGATTAAGAGGGAGAGCTTTAAAGCCATAAGATGATTCGTGCCCTTCCGTCCTTGAAGCATCCCTAAGATTGGACCTAATGAAGAGACAAAGTGTCCCACTTAATGCACTATAGTAGCCATTAACCGAAAGTCTGAATTAAGCACAACTGAAATATCCACAAGGAGTAGCAAGAATAATAGGACCCAGATGATGTTCGGTAAGCAAGCATAATTTATAAAGTTGCAACCAAAATCCCCTGCCTTAACCATGGATGTACCTAAAAGAGGAATGAAAACCAACATAATATTGGTTGGTAAGAGAACAGTAAAAAGATGTAGAAGTGTTAGCTCCCCATTTTAACAATCGAAGTACCACAAATACAAATTTGTACACAAACTAGCAAGACTTGTCGACACACTAATGAGCACGCAACATAAAAATTCCTAACCAATGACAGAAGGTTTGTTAAAGCATTATTACCTTCTGGATTCTACAATTGTGGATTCCATGAATGAATTAGCACTAGGTTCATGCAAGGCCTGCAACAAGACGAAGTACAACTTATCAATTATTAAGCAAATTAATAGAACATTTTCCCAACTGCCATTGACATTATTATATCATATCAAATCTAGAACCAATTCACCACCAATCAACCCCAAACCAAAATGACAGCTTAGTTAATGATTATTCTTCCATCAAATCCACTATCTTCCCTATCTGGGAATGGACTGCACCCTAAAAACTTGTGAAGCATATTTGAGAAGAGTGCTAATTACAAGATAGTAATTAATGTTCTGAAAGGAATGGGAAATAATGGAAGTTTTTTTCCATAATTTGTTGGAGTACAATTGTAATATATAAAGTATCAGAGACATAACCTTATCAGAACTGTTGCAGGGGAGAATGGATGTTGAAACTGCTGAGGAATGGAACATAGCCCTCTCTGAAGTCTTCAAATGAAATTCCTGAAACCAGTATAATGTAGGAAAAATTCAGCCATGCAAGTTATTTCAATGTACCTTAATCAACCTGCTGGATCGGAAAGCTAATTTCATGCTCACTCACTTGAAACTCCGGTAATTGAGGAGTGCTTCTTTTCGGAAGCAGCAGTGAAGGTGCTTCAAGAATCTGAAAGATGCAGATATATCTCTCAAAATCATTAATTAATAAAGAAGTTGAAATCGTCAATATCTGAACAAGTTACTGACCTTTCTATTTAGTGGAAGAGCTTTGAATCTATGAATAGCTGAAGTCACAGTCTCAGCTTCTTTTCTAGCTTTTGGCCTGAAACTCAATCAATCAAACAGGGCATCCCAGAGTTTGAAAGAAGAAAATCCTACTTTGACAATACAAAAGCAGAAGTGCGTTTGGATTCTGTCATCTAACTGACCTTATTCTTTGTGCCCTATGTGCTGTTTCAAGATCAGGTTCTCTAGGAATAGTGATCCTCGACTTAGCCTGCATCATATTTCCATAGACAATAGCATCCTGTAAAATCATTTGAAAGAACTCAGATCCACAAGAATACACGGAACAAAATATGTCTCGTCATTGTCCCCTTTCCTCTGGTTGCTAGAGCTTCCTTTCAACAGACTGGGGCAATATGCAATTTTAACAAACAACATTGTCTCTCACTATTAGGGATATGACAGATGACCCTTACAGTGACTTCCTCTGTTACCCAAATACAAATTCTCTTATTTGACAAAACTGAGTCATGCTTACAGAAGTAAGTGGCTTACCCGCTTAGGCGCCTTATGAACAAAACTAGTTTGCTGAACCGCACTCACAACCTGTCACGTAAAGATAAGTTTCAGCAGCGTTAGATGGGAATAGAAATTACAAAAATATTATTAACCAACCATGCATCCACTGAGAAAACATGTGAAAAACAGAAGAAAATAAATAAGATAACAATTATAGTCCCAACTTCTAAGAAATTGTCACATCACAGTGTAGTTCGCATAATATGGCATTCAGTAATTCTGAGGCTCAAAAGGCAGGCCATAGAACAATGTCAATCTCATAACAAGCCACATTTAAAAAACAAATAAAAAATAAAATAAAAAGGATTAACCTGAACCTTCCGCAAGTGACCTCCCTCAAGCTTTTGTCTTTTCGCAGCTTGATTCTCAATCCCACAACGTTGACCTGTGCCTTTCTCAGGTTTCTCCATGAAAGACTTCTTTGACCTAGCAATCAGAAAACCTTATTCAGTAACACACATATCCCCATCATGCTACATGCAAATTTCCCATGAGTGTGGTACCCCCATGTGATTTGCAAGGTGTTCATTTCTTCCCATATAAGGGCACAAATTGATAGATTAATAGAACCAAGATACACATTAGTGCAAATGAATCTTAACTTCACCAAAGGAAATGTCAATGATGTTTGATTGCACAAAATTCAAATGTTTTTCTTACAAGGTTAACTCCAAAAAAAAATAATAATAATAATAATAATAAATGTGAACAAACATAGAGCAAAACGTCGTCAATAGTTTTAAAGCATTATAAGCTTTTATAATAAAAATCCAACCAATAATAAAGAATTCAGTAAAAAAAATGGTCACCTGAAGTCACCAGCTTGGAGAGGTTGATTTTGCTTGGCCAATTGACTCACTGTTGGCTTCATAAGAGTTGAGATCCTTGGGAATGATTGCTTCACTGGCAATTTTGTTTTAGTACTCGAAGTATTATTCACCATGTGGTTGTAAAAGTTCAACCCTGCATAGACATAGCATTGCAAGTAAAAATGGTAGAACTAAAAAAAAAAAAAATTCCTAAATTCTAGATGCAAATAAGATAGTATATCCAAGCTCTATTATAAAATACAGAGCATCAAGTTTAATACTGAATATAAAACGAGGTAAAAGGTAAGCATGGATTAAGATAGAGTGACGAGCATGGAAACAAAACTGAATGTTGTTGTTTCAAAAATAAACCATCATATAGGAAACAACACCTGAGGGTAATTTTTCTGATAGATTCTGAAACATTTGCACACTATTAACTTGCAAATTTGTGGGATTTGGTCCATCTTGTCCTTCATTTTCTTCAAGACAAAATAAAATGACAGTGAGCGAACGGGTTAAAGATTTTGTATGTAATAGAAAAATATCTTATTATTCTTGGTCATAATTTTTTAAAGTAAACATGTCAAGTATAAATAGTGATTATCTACCATCCAGTCAGAAATATATTTCAGTGCTCCAACACTTTTACAGAAGCCTATTTAACCTTGAACTTCTCCTTGTCCATATGCTACACAAATTTCAGTTGTACACTTTACTGTCTTATAAACATAAAAGAAAAATTTGTTCAGCGGGAAAGGAGTTTTTGCAGTTGTAAATTGAAGAACCATAAAGTAGTTACTACAGCCACCAGAATCATACAGATGATTTTATATGATCACAAATTTCAATTCCAGAACCAAAAGTGTTAAAAAGTTCTCTCAATTTCCGAGTTGAAGTTATTTAAAATTATAGTAATCATTACTGTATTTATGGATCCAAACCCTTTCTGAAATCTTTTAGCTAAGCGGAAAACAGATTTCATACATATAAATCCTAAAAAGCATTTGAATGGTTACATAAAGTGCGTCCAATTCATGGTATAATACCTCGACAATTCATGTCCATATCAGAAATTTCTTGGTGCGCTTCAATATCAGTGTTGCTATTTGATAATTTCATGATTTCCACATCTTTAGGTTTTGGGGAGGTATTAATATTCTCCAATGAGATGTCTTCACTTTGAACTAACCTTGCCACAAAAGCTGGAACAGAGATCACCAACGCAATGTAAATTCAAGGCAATAAAACAATAAATCGCAAAGAAAATTAACAAGCATGAGAAACAAAGAGTGACAGTTCAAAACAATTACAGCATTATGACATCCCCATGTCCAATAAGTATATCAGATTTTGGTCATCCAGACATTATTATGTTATCCGAAGAAACATGACAACTAAATTGATGTTGGAAATAATTTTCAGAAAATTTATTACACTTGTTTTGGATGGGTATAAAAATTTTATCTTTCTCAGAGAAACATAAAATGGAAAAATAAAACTATTCAACTGAAAAAAATTCAAAGGAAAGTGGAAAGGATAATGCCATAGCAAGGTATAAGAACCAAAACACCATTCAACAAAATAATGATAGTAATACGTTTAAGCTTTGAAAATTGTTCCAAACTCTCTGGCATTGCGAACGAACTAATTCCAAAATCTAAGGAGCAAGAGAAAAAAATTTACACATTGCGCAATACAAATATTTTAGCTAGTAGTACCTCGATCTTCACAAGTCAGAGTGTCAGACAATTTTGGCACTCTTCAATAGTATGAAAAACCTATTTTCTCACATTGAGAAAGAAATACCTAACTTCACGTATTTTTACTACCATTATGCTGCTTGTAATACTTTCATCTTCAAAAATTGCCAGATTTTAAGATACACAAGCCAAACTTCATATATCTAACTTATGCATGTTTAGCTAAGCTTAAAAGGCTTGATTATAAGTAAATTATAACATAAACAGCTTCTTATATCTGTTGAAATTGAAATAATTGTGTATCTTATAAAATAAGTAACTTATTTTACTTAAAACAAAATTAATATCATATCTAAAATCTTCCAAAATAAAAAATAAAATAAAATAAAAAGATCCTTTTTATTTCTAAGCTTTACAAAACATGCTCACTTTTTACTTTTTCTCTTACGATTGAGAAAACCACATCCTCAGTAGTCATTACTAATTTTATAAAGCATAAAATGGGAACAAATGAGGGAATGGTAATGCCAAAGCTAGGTACTAATATCTAAACGTAACGTACAACACGTGATATTAAACCGTTAGAAACAAAAATTAAAGAAATTTGATAGAAAAAATACGAGAAGGCGGATAGCTTCCTGCTGACTGGAACCAGAGCTCGGCATGGCGAGTCTCGTAGAGTGACTCGGCTCTGCTGAAGTCGAAGAACCGAGCCGCGTCGAACTCGTAGTCAAAATCAATCTCATTGTCCGTAAAAGTGCGTTCCATTTCCTCATCCATAACATTGTTTTTACCATCCTCCATCATTTCTTCTTCCATTATCTTCTCGCCCTTCAATGCGCGTCTGCAAATAAGATTTTTCTTTCTTTCTCGAAAATAATCGATTTCGGAAAAAACTGAGAATTAAAGCGAAAATGGCAGTTCTCTTGGTTCTTAAAATGCGAGAGGAATGGAATGAGTATTGGAAAAAATGGCGTACGATAGAGACAGGGGCTACTGTGTGTACGTTGACAGAAGAGAATGGGTTGGGGTTTGGGTTTTTTGAGGGTGGGGTGTGGGGTATAAGGCGGATCCGAAAATTTGAATGTGGGGTGATGTGGGAGGATCCGACTGCAGAGATAACGTTAGCATTTAATTTTGAGAGAATTGCATTTTTGGTCACCAACATATTCTATGAGTAACAGAATCGGTCCCAACAACCTAAGTCATTGTGTGTATATTTAGCCCATGTTTGGCCCCAATTTTTCAGAATTTATTTATTTTTACTCATTTTTAACTACAAATTTATGAAATCTAGAATTTTTATCAATTGTTTATTTATATATTTCATCAATTTTTATTAAAATCTACTAATAAATATTTTTTAGACAAACCAAACGGAGGCTTAGCTTTAAAAAATTAATTTTTGTTTCCCAACTTAAAGCATATTTGGTTAAACTTAAAATCCAATTAAAATTGAAAATATAACCGTTATTGGGTCACACTCGTCTAATAAAAATCAACAATAACTATTAATTTTTCAATTTTAATCCGATTTTAATCCCTACCGAACACGTCCTTAGATTGGTGCCTAAAATTTGAAGTGAAAAATGTTTTTACATATATAACTTGCTCTTTTTAAAAAATTAGATTTTAGCGTGTTACATGAAAAATAAGTTGAGGACTAATGATGCAATTTTCTCTTAATATTCTCTTGTGACGAATTTGCCCTCTGGTATGCTCTGACTTGTCTTATTTCTATTCCATCGACATATTGATTATTGAGGGATGTTTGATGACTTTAGGAAATTGAAATTGAAGGTGACGAATTACTTAAAATGAACATATAGTTCACACATACCATGGGATGATCTTTGTGCAAGATTTTGTTTATTTATAGCATATTTACGTATTGTCTTGCTTTTTGTCTACAAAGATTCATGATCTAAGTTGGTAATTTCCATTACGTTTAAAACGGTCAATTTAAGCAGTCGAACCACTGAACAAACATCGTTCAAAAAACTAAACCATCGTTCAAAAAAGACAATTATCTAGCACCAAATACGTATTTGAATGTGATTAAATATATGCCTTTTGTTTGGGTTGCATTTTTTCATGTTTAAAAATTAGCTTTCAAAGTCAAATATTAATTTTAATCACACATTTCTTGAAATTCACAAGTGTTGTTTTTTTATTCACCGCTCATGTTTTAAAAACAAAAATTAAGGCCCTGTTTGGGAGGGATTTAGATTTTTCTACAGTAAATCAATTCTCATTTTCAACCACAGATTCTTCAATAAAATAATATTTTCCATCACATCAATAATTTTTCCTTCTTTTTCAACCACACATTCTCTATTAATCTACTATTCTAAAATACATTATTTCAAAATAATGTGGCTCAAACACACTATAAATTTCCATCTCATCAATAATTTTTTTTTCTTTTTCAACCACACATTTCACATCATATCACTATTCAAAATCAATTCTTCCCCCAAAAATCTCTCCCAAACAAGCTCTAAGTAAAATAAGAAGGCCACATAAAGCATGAAGACTATACGGCCTTATAAAAGTGTATCACTTTAAAATTTTCAACAATTTGTATAATTAATGCAAAATAATCGTTACGTTAATTTGAACAGAGCAGTATTACTACGACTACTAAAGTCGAAGTTGCGTTTGAATTTAAAATTTGGGTGTCAAATTGATTGTCAAATTCAAATATCTTATTTGATTGACATATTAAAGATTCGTAATTGAAAGATTTGTAATTGAACCAATCACGTATTTTAAATAATTAGGGTTTTGAAATTTGAATGAGTTGGGGATAGGATTGGCATTTTGTGGAAAGTGGATAACTTATTTGTCTTTGGCGAGAGAGACAAATTGTTTTTGGAGTTTGTGCACTGCCTCGGTCGGCTTATTAAAATTACTAATATTTTCCAAAGCTTGAAGTTTGCCCTTAAATAAATTGCAATTTTGCCCCTAATGGTTTATTAATTCGTTTATCAGGTCCTCAGTTGGTCCCACCTTGTCGAATTTTAAATAGCCAAATATGGTATAGATCAAAATGAAGTTTTTAGTAAATTTTGATAAAATTAATTAAATATATGATTGAAAAGTTGTGGATATAATGAAATGTGTGATTAAAATTAATTGTTGATTTTGGCATGAAATTAAAATCTATAACAGGGGCTCATGCAGGTTATTTTCACTAATGGCTACTGATTTTTTCACTTAATGTCACTTTGACCACTAAACTTTAATTTATATCAAACGCATTAATATAATGTATATGTTTTTTTTTTTAAAATAAAATTATTTGACTACCAATTCAATCTTGACTCTAACTTTTCTTGATTGTTTGTCCAAATCAATTTTAAAAATATTGAAAATTATAGAACTTGCGAAGTTAGATCAAGTGATTTATAATGATATCAGGGCAAATAAAGATCTTGAGTTCAAGTCTTGCCACCACTTTTTTAGTTAAAGCCAATATGTTGCACATATTAGGTATTGAGTTGTTGAGATCAAGGTGTTTCGTAGATTGATAAAATAAAAGTGAATACATGAGGGTGAATTAAAGAAACTTGGCCCATGTTTGACAATCATTATTTTGAGAAAATTGAGTTTTCAATAGTGATTTTTCAGATAATGTGTTGTTAAAAAGTAAAGAATTGCTTTGAATTTACACGTAACGTATTTTATTGTGTAAATTTATGGTTGAAGATGAGTAAAATAATTATAAAAAAATTGAAATAATGATTGTCAAATAGGGGCTTAACCGACCGTATTCTTGTGACAACAAATCACATGGATAATTAAATTAAAACAGGGGGAAAAAAAAAGGACAGGGAGGATACAATTTCGATAAAACAAGTTGAAGAGATATAGGCATACCAAATTATTTAAGATGTTGGGTTGATATGTTGTAAAAATGAAATAAAAAGTTTCACGGGGTACATGTGATTTTTGAATCAACTTCAATTTCTGAATTAAATGCCGAATGACGATGCTATTCAATGATAGTGTACTAAAGCAGTTCAATATTCTTACAAGCATTTATTATTTTCTCCTCATAATTTGAATTGGGTATATACCCATTTATTTGATTTGACACCTTCAGTTGAAAAAAATCAATAAAATGGACCATTTGAGCAGATGATTTGTTGAAAAATATAACCATATCTATAAAAGAATCTTGCTACCACTATGTTTGACACCCATTTTATGGGAATGAGAATTTTTGGAATAGTGATTAATGGGAGAATATGTGGTGAAAAAGTAATGAAAAGTTTTAGATTTGTGTGTAATATTATTTTATTGGAAGAATGTGTGGTTGAAATGAAAAAAGAGAAAAAAATGAGAATAAGAATAGAATGGGTGACAAACAGGGGCTCATATACCTTTTGGGGTACATGTTGGTTTACTCGACCCCACCACCTCTCTCACATGGGAGTCGGGTCCCCACACATTTATTGGATGTGGGACCCGACCCCCATGTGAGAGAGGAGGTGAGGTCGGGTAAACCAAAGTGTACCACAAAGGTACAAATAACATAATTCATCTATAAAATCATGAATTTATCTGCTTGTTTAGGTCAAGGACAGACCCAAAAACAGGGGGTTGAGGTGAATTGAAAAAAAAGTGCCTCATATGAATTCAAATCAAGGACTGAGGTGATGGCACATCAGCCCCCTGTTTTTTGGGTTAGTCTCCGACCTTGTTTGAATAGCACGGTTGTAAAATCATTATTTTTAGTACTTTTTAAAGCGCGTCGATAAATTGACCTCAATGATTGAGAATTTTAAGTTTTATTATTTTCAGTCAAATTTGAATTTTAATCATACATTTCAAAACTATACTACTTATCTATTATTCACACATTTCGTCGAACTCATTACTCCTCTCTTTATGAATTATACTACTTATCTATTATTCACACATTTCATAAAACTCGTTACTCCTCTCTTTACGATATCCTTATAAGTAGATTATTATGAAACGTAAAAGGCAAAGTTTTTGTTTGGCACGTTTTATTTGAAAATTATTTTCTTAAATTCAATTTTAACCCACAATTTCCTTCAAATTTTGTTTGAATTCCGATCGTTTTGTTATTGTGAGCAATTTATTTGTAATCAATTTTAAATTTTAAATTAATGGGTCAATTATTGTATTCAATAGTGACAATACTTGTCACATTCTTAGATAATCACAAATGTCAAACACTACTAGACATTATATGAAACTACGTTTCACACAAGGTGATAATTGTAAGTGTTGAATAGTACGTGCCAACCATTGTTTCAGATGTTGGTGTGTTTGGTGCATATTAAAATAAGATAATAGATTTCTTTGAAGTTAAGTGATGTGATAGAAAATATGTGGTTGAAAAATAATGAAAAATTATTGATGTGATGGAAAATATTATTTTATTAAAGAATGTATGGTTAAAAATTAATAGAAGAATGAGAAAAATAATGTGGTTCAAACATGGGGTGTCTACGTGGTGTTAATGTGGCATTAAATGATAGGTAAAATTAAATAAATCATTTAATTTTACCTTTCGTTTTACCTATCATTTAAAACCGCATAAACTGTATTTTCATCCCCACTGGGGATGAATAACATTACTCTTCTAAAATACATTCTTTCAAAACTAATTTTCAACAATACATTTTTCATTAAAATAATATTTTCTATCACATCAATAATTTTTCCATACTTTTTAACCACAACTTTCTCATCGTATCACTATTTAAAATACATTCTTTTCTCAATAATATCCATCAAACCTACCCTAAGCAATTAACACAGGACTTTGAAATTGGAAAATG